CCTCGCCATTATTTATGAGCTCGAGCCCCGATTTGCTCAGCTAATGATGCGCCGGGGGCCGCGGAGCCTCGCCTCGCTAGCGCGGCGGCGGCGGCGGCGGCGGCGAGGGCAGGGCAGCGCCTCTGGCTGCAAAGCGGAGCCTTCCCCGGCAGCGCCCGGCCGCTGCCCGCCCGCCGCGAGGTGCTTCCCCCGGGGCTGGGGAGGAGCGCGCCCCGCGCCGTAGGAGACCGGCTGTCAGGACTGTTCTACAGAGGAGCCGGCAGTACCTTTGCGGCCACCGGGAAGAGAGGCTTCTCTTTTGGGTTTTTTTTTTCCGGTTTGTTTTTTTTTTCCTCCCCCCAGTAAGCCAGGTTTGGAATTAAAATGTTCTGGTAGCAGGAGCGGAGCCCATAAACTGATAGAAACCAGATAGGAGTCTGTATTACTGGTTCCTCCAATAGCTGGGTAAGCATAATTGAAAGTTCTCTTTCTTTGCTGTAATAGATGTGAAATGTGTTTGATGTTTGGATTTTCCTGCTGTTCACGGATAGTGGAAGCAATATTTTCCAGATTAGCGTAGCCTGTGTTTGGCGGGGTTTTTTTCCCCCCTTTCTTTCCTTTCTTCTGCTGAGCGATTTTCCTTACGGGATTTACGGGTAGGGCTCTGCCCGTAGCGGATGACACCTGCGCAGCACTTCACAGCGAAGCTATAGAATACTTTCCAAAAGCAATACAGCAAGCCGAAAGCGACCTCCGTGGCAGGAAAACTTCACCACTTCACTTTAGTAGCGGTTTGCCGGTTTGTTTACAGTTAGAATAGGGCATAAGAGCAGAAATGTGATTAGATATTGCCTTTTGTCTGTCCCAAAAGATTCTTTAAAAGTACTTGCAAGGTTTTAAGGTCTGTGGGTTGTCAGCAGAGATCATGTGCACAGGGCATGCTGAATATAGTATCATGACTTACTGAGATAAATTCAGAACTGGGATATTAGCCCAAACCGAGAGTCAGACCTGCAGTGAGTTTGTGTTCAGTTACCAGGTATGTAAATCTCTGAAATTAAACCTCTTTCCATTAGGTAACTCAGATGTCAGACACCCTGAGGTACCTTTTTGGCTCCGTGTGCATTTATTATTTATGTGTCTAACAGCTGGGTAGGAACCACGCAGCTCAGAATTTGAATCTTGTGTTTGCCTGTCACTTCTGTGTTAACGGTGAGGATCTGCAATTTGAGCAATGAAATGTAGCAATGTTTCACTCCCGTAACTGCACTAGAATTGGCAGGAGGCATGAGAGTGGGAGGGAAAGAGTGCTGAAAGGTTTTTTGTTATTATTCTTTCCTATAATATCATTTAGAGGAAGAGAGAAAGCCACACACTTGTTACTTGTTCCTCTTTGACTTTTTATCTCTAGTGCAAAGGAAGCATAGTGCTACTACTGTAAAATACTAATCCCATTGCATCTGTTAAATCACATGTTCTGTATGATTGGCTATTTGTTTTGGCCTGACAAAGAAATTTTATCAGGATTTAATGGCATTTTTCTCTTAGAAGAGCGGTAAGTTAGAAGACATCCCATGGGCTAGTCACAAGGTTTTAAATTTAAAGCCCACAAAGCAGCATTAATACTAGAGTTCATGCAGCCTGTTTAAAAATTATTCTTGGCGAAAACTCTGCAACTACTACTCTATTAGTTAACAGACCCTTAGAGATAATTTGGAACTGGGCCAGAATGGATATGTTTCTCCTGTAGAGCCGATCTGTAGCTGGCAAATTTCTGACACTGGTGTTTTTGTCAATTAGCAGATTTGTAGCATTACTTGATCTTCATGCATTTCTCGGTACTCCAGAGCAAATTGTGAAGGAGAGTTTAGAGTGTGGGCTACAGAGCTGTGCGCTCGCTCGCGTGCTCTCTGTCCCACCCCCAACTTCGTACGAAGTTCTCGTGCAGAGAGAAGCCTTTCAAAACAATTTACAGTGAGTGGATAGGGAATGACAGAAGTAGTAATGAGATACGGGGCTTTTACCAGTAAGTCAGTGGTGTGAATCCAGCCCAAATTGGCGTTGACCTAAAGACATCCCTGCGTGACAGCTGGTTCCTGCCATGCTGTGGTGGTTACAGCCGGTTCTGTTAGGACAGGTGTGAATCTCAGAGGGACCGAATGAACAAGCGTGTAGAAATACTGGCTTCCACTGGAGGGACTGTAGTGCTAGAGCAAAGCTGAGGTAAAGAAGTGTAAGATGATTGCACAGGCAACAAAATTCTTGATGAAATAAATATATAGCCTTTAATGCTGTCTTCTAGCTGTAGGGTTTATATCCTTCAAGGTGCTTCCAGTTACTGTGGACTCAAATATATCACCTGATTAACCAGTAAGTGGTGTCCAGTAGAAGGGCTGTTGATGCCAAAAAGAGAAAATATATATGTAAGCAGGAAAGTAGAATGGGCCTAAAATCAGGGTGTGTTTTATTCTCACTTTTGCAGCTGAGCTGAAGAACAAAATTGTTATCATAGGTAAAATGAAATTTGGACTTTACTGGTTTTGGAGAGATGAAGTTTAGGAGCATTATAGATATGCAATATTCAGCTTCTAAAGTCTGCTGGGTTTTATGGGTCTGGTCCAAAGTCCATTGGAATTGATAGGAAAGTGCCACTGACTCCAGTGAGCTCAAGCCCTTCCAAAGCTAAGAAAAGATGCAGATTTGTTTTGGGGTGTTTTCTGATTCTCTGAGGAGCTCAGTCTTCTCAGCAGCTAAACCCTATAAAATGAGTGTAGATTCAGCAGATATGCAGGAGGAGTAGCATAAGTATCGCATGCAATGCACTGTCCAACACTGGCTATTCTTAGTGCTCTGTAGAAGTCTATGAGAGCAGGTAGGCATCCCAAAAGAAGCTAGCCCAAAAAGCAAATGTTGACTAACAGTTTCAAGCATGTTGAAATAATTTCGGTTTAAATGGTTTTGAAATTAGTGATGTATGTAGTCAGGATTTCATATTAAAAGAAGATCTAGAGGGCTATTAGAGAACTTGACTTACTAAAACTTAAAGCTCATTTCCAACCACCTTTGATTTCAAATGTTAAAAGAAAAAAACACCCAACAACCCAAACCTGTCCCGTGCCCTGCCCCCCTCCCCCCAAACATGAGAGGGAGATCAAATATGATGTAAAGTAAGGAGAGACATCTAAAAATATCAGCCAGCTTTTTATTCGTGAAACTTTATCTCCTGTCCTTGCTTTGCTCTGCCTTGACATTTAGTATAATTATTTTTCCAGCAGGTGGAATTGTCCTTATTTAAATAAACTGAATCTAATGCTCTAGTCTGCCTTAGCCAAAACTCAGGCTCTGTTGGTTCATGCTAACAGGCAGAGAGCTCCTTTTGTGCCAGCACAGAAGACCACTGGGGAAAACCATTTTCAGATGTACAAAGAAAAAACATAAGCGCTGTACTTCCTTCACATTATCATGTATTATGGCTTCAGCTGGAAGAGCTTTCTAACACAGATCTTTTTGTACTATTGTTTTTGCTCCACAAAATTGTATAACAACAGTAATGTGCTATCTCTGTCTTTCAGGTTTCGTTTCTTGGATATTAAGTTGCGAATCTGAAGAGATGGCATTTCTTGCACTGCACGTGTTGATTGGGATATTTATTTACTTTAGCAGTGTAAAAGGATCTTCCCAGCCTCAAGCACGGGTGTTTTTAACATTCAATGGTAAGAAAGAAGATAAACATTCTTAAGCAAATGTTATGATTGAACATTTTCTTCTTCCCCTTAAATTCAATAACTGAGTTGAAATGGGCTTTTTGATCTGTGTCCACAATTGTTATTTCCAGTTTGTGTTACTGAGGTGCCTGTCAGCCTAAATTTGATATTTACCTCAAGTTCATTGCTACTATAGGTACATAATTGATAATACCTTGTCTTTATTTTGAGAGTTATTATGGCTTACTAACAACTAAAGGTTTTACTTCTTATCCTTAATTTTGTTTGGGAAAGATAATAGCACCTGGCATGTAGTGGAAGTTACTAATGATTTGAGCTGCTTTCATTCGGTGCCCAACTGAGACACTTTGTACTCTGAAAACCAGGCTGCCTGAAGGTTTACCAAGACAGTAAGCCAGGCACGGAGTCCTTTGACAAAGTATCATTCCTTGTGTGCCTTATACGTTATGTCGGATGTACATAGCATGTGGCAATCACGGATGCCTGCATACTGTAAAAAAAGCAATCAAAATTAATATTTTCAAAAGAAAGGTGTTTTTACTTCTGACGTGATGAGCAGTTCCTTATTGCTGCAATTACCCCACTATTACTTTAAGAGTAAGGTAGCTTATTCTTCTAGTATGAATCCCTGTCTTAAATGCTGATTTTAGCCACCACTTCAGTATATGTGTGTTCTTCAGGCTTACGGTTTCTGTTAAATTGGAGGAGAAATTTTCTGTCACTATAAGGGCAGCTGCTTTCTTCAGCATGCTGCCTTTTCTGCGACTGTCTTCAAGGCATGAGGCCTCGCTGCTCCCTGCACCGGTACCATCTGCATTAGGATGGTTTGTATGGCTCACGAGTGCAGGGGTGCCCTGCAGCTGCCATGTCCTGCCATGGGAATATTCTGTGTGCTCTGAATAGTCGTTAAAGAATCCCTTTACAAATAATCACAGCTAGTATCTCCAACTGCTATTTGCCGCAATGGTCATACCTATGTACTCTTGAGTCTGAGAGACATCTGGCAGGAGACCTGCCAAGTTTGACCTTCCACAAATACCAACCAGCAGACTGAACAATTACAAGATACTTCATATTGTAGAGTATAGGGCCCTAAACTTATGAGCACAATACTTAATAGGTGTAAATTAGCATGGTTCCAGTAAAAGCAATAGTAGAAATTGCATTCCAGGAGGGAATGGCCAAATGAAGAAGTAGGTGGGAATTTCTTTTCCTTGCTTAAGTAATGCCGACTTAATGTAGATGGTACTGATTCAGCACAACTCAACGCAGAAGCAAGTTTGGCTGTGGTTGTGTGCTACACCTGCAGGTTTGTCACAGTTACGCAGAACAGGCTGATTCAGATTTCCACGTCATGTCCATGGTGGCCTTGAAAGTAATCTAGGCTTCCCCTGATCTCTGGTATGAGCATGAAGTAGGAAGTGTTCAGGTTTTGCGGTATTCAACCTTGTGAATGGGAAAGAATCATAATGAGAGGCAAATAGGATGGGTAAAACTGAGTCTGTAGCCTCAGTGAAAGTTAGGGGAAAGTAAGTCTCACCAGAGCCTTGCAATACTATCTGATTATCTTAAAATGGATGTTTTACCTTCTCTAATACTTATCTCAACATTCAACCTTAAAAAAAAAAAAACCCAAACATTTTAAAGTTCTTGATTTTTAATGGGTCTTTCAAAGTCACAAAAGACAGATATTAATTATGCATTTTATAATATGACAAGTAATGTCTGAAATAAAGGGCTGATCTTTTTTTATAATATAAAAACACTAATTTTATTTTTAAGCCCTGTTTCCAGATGGTAAGAAACAGTTTCATTATATGAAAAGAGTTTGCAGGTTGTCGTGTATAACAAGGTAATGGCCCCACCAGTAGTATGAACTTCTGTTCTATAAATCTTTGTTTATTTACATGGGTACTGATATAGGAGAAAAAGATGAAACTTTGTATTGTTCTGTAGCCAAGTGTGATAACATACTCTTTCTGCATAAGCTCCTTCATAGCTTATTGTTTTTAAATCATGTAGAAATATCAAGTTATTGGCTGTCTCCATGCCCTGAGAAGTTGTCAGTTTTTATGGAGAATTGTCACTCTTTTAAAGTGTATCATTTGAAAATAAAACTATAATTAGGACTCCTTATGTTTTAAATGACATTAGACAATAAAGACAAGTCATTCAAGCTTAGGATACTTACATGATATTTTTCAAGTTCTGAATTGGATTTGGCTTGGTGTCTATAATTACATTGCATAAGTTTTGGGGGTAGAATGTATACAGGAGGAGAAAATGAGTGATGCTTTTCAAAGCTAACCTGCTCCTTCAGGATCAAGTCAATTGAGCTTATTCACATTGCAGCATTTCTCATGGGAAAATCCAGCAAGTATCTTGACCTATTCTGTTGTTCATCAGGAAAGATAAAAATGCGAATCGTTTGAATCATGGGCTGCTTTTCTTTTTGCCATCTACTTCATTAAGAATCAAATGTAATTAAAAAGTAAGCCTGGGTAATACCTCAAGAGCCTGATAATAGGGATTTTGCAATTAACTTCAATGGATGAAGGACTGCAACCCTAATTTCTATTTTTGAAATCAAAAGCCTGGCCCCTTGTCTAATTAAAATGTAGTTCATGACTTAGCTGAGATTGTTAAATGTACGTCTGACGTGAGTGTGGAACTTACTGCTGTCTGCACCCTGAGTGTCTTGAAAATTGCACTGCCGTACAGAACCCCGAGGCCTGATTTCTATTGCTTTGTACCTTGTATAGCCATTTACTTGGATGAAAGGAAGAGCCAGGCTGGAGCTGAACTGCATGGTTTGCACAGATATATGTGGTTATACATGACACTAGGCCTACAGAGGATCAGGCAAAAGGATTCTCACCTTGCTTGGAATGATCTGTCATGAGCTAATTGTCCTGTTCAGCTGAGATGGCTTGAACCATCAATATTTGTACAACATCTGCACTCGAAAAGCCACTGCAGTTGAAGAAAGAAAGATGGCTCCAGCTTTTTCTGATTCTGAAACTGCAAAGATGTGAAGCCTGTGGTGCAGCATCCCCAGTAGCGTTGGGGAATCATCTGCTGCATTACCATGGGGCGTGCAAGAGTGAGGGAACCTGGGATGGGGGAAGCAAGGGACTCGCCATGTCTCCCTACACTATTGGGACACCATGCCCCCTCCTCTTACCTCTTCTGTCTCCTTGTCTGCAGAATAATCTTCCTTAGTCTTCTTAAATCACCCATCGTAATTTAAAGCACCATAGTTTATTTTCTCCCCGTAGCAAAAGACTTACCTGATCTGTTTATGAACTATCAAGTATAGTGCCTGCTGTTTCTCAAGCTGCATGCATTCCTCCTCGTTACTGCATGTTCCTGAACAGATAATTGGGAGCTGTATCCTTCAGTCATCACAGGGGCAAAACCTTTCTCAAATCAGTGGGAGTATTACCAAAATAAGAAAGGAGTTATTAGACTCCAGGATAGTGTCAGACTTTCATTTCATTCCAGCTCTCATTTACATTTTGGGTTTTATTGCAGCCCTACAATGTTGGGTCATACCATTTTAATGTCAGATTCTGAATTGGTCAGAGCAGTTCCAGAACTTATTTTTGAAAATACACTCAAACAAATCTTCTTTGAGCTTTGAATTTATATGGAGACACAGAACCAAATGATAATTTCACAATTTACTGGGAACATTTCATGCATTCCTACCTAAAATGTCTGGTCAAGCAGATATTTCCCATGCAGATTCTCCCATTGTCTCCAGTGAAAATTCCATATGAGAAGTGGATCAAGGCTAATTTGCAGACGGTTTTGTTCCTCTTTTTGTCATAAAATTACTAGAACACGTAAAGCACTTTTAAGAAAGTATCAGTCAGCTTCATTAATGACAATTAAAAAGCATAAAATGTCACCAGAGCAACAGCAGCACTTATTCAACTGTCAACATATTTTAAAAGATTTAATGCAACCCCTGTGGTTACCCTCAAGGAAAAATAAAGGAACTGAGAACCATTTTCTTTGAGCTCTTGAGCAACAGCAGTACAACTTGTTTTTAAACAATCCCTCATTGTAATGTTAATGTTACCACAGTTAATAAAAAGTTCATTTATTATTTGGGGGACTTTGTGCTGATGACAGTCTAGTAGGCAACGGTTTATGCTCAAATAGTTGATTGGATCTTTGGTGGTGTCCATGGAATGAAAGTTACTTGCAAAATGAAGTAGAGGTAAAGCATTTAAAAAAAAAAAAAAAAAAAAAAAAAGAAAGAAAGAGAGAAGAGAGAACCATGGTTTTATTTTTGTTTATATGCAGAACTCATACAAAACTCTCTTGACTGTTTATATAGTTGCATAATTTTCAGCAAATTGTGGGTCAGATTTTATCAAAAGTAACTGATTTGTGCCTTTCACAGCTTCATGGACCTTAAATAATATTAATTTATAAAGCGTTGAACACCAACCGTGTGAAAATTCTTCCCCTTCAATTGTCTTGCACTGGAGATCTAAAAACTTAACCCACTTTTGAATACTGTCAACTAGAAATAAAATTCTTTCTTACCTGTAATAGTAAAGTTGGTATTTTTACATTTGGTTGAACTGGCAACTTTGGTTGTTCTTAAAGACAAATACCTAATTTACGAATTGAAGTCTTTGGGGGTCATTTTTAGACTTAATCTTCCCTGTGTATGGAATTTTTTTCTTGCTTTGTCTTTTTTTTTTTTCCTCTCTGTTGTTAAAATAAACAGAGACATAATGCAATAAATCTTACTTGTACAGAAATTGAATTACCTGAATAGGCTATAAGTTAAATGTAAAAAAAATAAAATAAATAAATAAATAAATTCAAATAGATATTAAGGGAAGCATGTAAGAAGCTTAGTATTCTTTCTAGAGTTCCATGGGTGGAGGTCCCACATGCCAAATGACATTGAATCTGCTTATTTTCACGCTCACTCTTGTTCCATGGCTGTCACTGACTTGGCTTCA